TTTAGAACTACTATTTGTGAGTCATCTGGGTGAAGAGATTGCAGCTCCTGTCTCACAGATTCGATACTCGCATTGTGCTCTGTTGAGAGCTGAATGGCCAGTACTTCCCCTGTTGCCTTGACAAGTCTGCCCATAACAGCTCGAGAATCCCCAAGGTTTGCAACATAGAGAGTTCCGTTGCAGATAAGTCCAACAAGGCAGCATGTGCCAACTGATGCTATCTGTGGTTTTGTAGGCCACTGTTTGCTCACAACTGAGAAAAAACCATCTTCTGTTGCTTGAAATGCCTTCCGAATTACCTCCGTCGACATAGTTTGATGCTCAGAGGTGAGCCCTGAATAATTCAAAAAATAGTTTTTGAGCTCAAAACCATGAAAGTCTTAAGAGATTGATTAAATAGCAAGGGGATTAGTTAACCTCGTCACTTTTACAGCTCTAAGTTAGCAATTTAATATTTCTAATCCAACATCACGGGAAACATTGGCAAACTAGGAACTCAAAACTGGCACGTAAGTACAGTTTTCAGTTAACAAATGTAATAATTAAAAATAGGAGAATTTATACAAATGATCAGTTTTGACATTCAGAAGCCTTTTTCCTATTATTTTTCTTGGGAGAGTCAAAAATTTAACTGATCAAAGAATAATAGCATTTTTCAAACTAGGTAACTTCAAGGGACTTACTCTTGAGATGTTGGAAGAGGTGATCATTGACAAATTGAGAAGCCTCCGGACCACCATGTCCATCGTAAATCCCCACAAAAGTGCCATATGGCCCAGAATCATGCATGCCCAAACTACCTGATTCAAGTTGGCTCTGATCCTCAATTAAATTATTAGCTTGAACTACAGCCATTGAAAACTCTCCATTAAAATGCTGCCCTGTGTCCTTGTACCACAGAAGCCCCACTTGACGACCACTAGCATCCGAACCCGTGTGAACGTATCCATCTGCTTTCGGCCAAAAACAGGCCCTCAAAAAGTTCATCAACCCCGATAACATACCTCATTTCATCCAAACCACCCTCAGAATTCTCCGCATATAATGAGGACTGGAGCTAATTCTGTCCTCCTCAACACAAAAGACAAGTCTAGATGAACATGAGTATCAAGCGTAAAACAAACAGAATTAGAACTTGAATAAGAACAATCCAACAAATGAAATGCACTAGAAATACATAAAGGTTCCAACTTTATTTTCAATTCAGATGCTAATTTCTATAAAACTAACAAGGAATAAGGTCTTCAAATGTGAAACAGATCTTTGACTATAAACAGCCGCTAAAAACTAAGAAAAGTCAACATAAGGAAAAAGTGAGGGTGACAAAATACACCTTTTCTTCGGCCTACTCTTTGATCAACCAGTTCTAGATCCATTCCCAACAAAGAGAGAGAAATAGAAAAAACCAAAAATCCAATTTATTGAAATCGCGAAACTCTCCGGTTAAAGTTACATATTTCCAAAATAAACGAGCAAGAAAAGCACATATGCAAACATGGGATTGTGGAAATTTGTTAAAGATGTTACCTTCAACAATTGAAAGAAAGGAACGTCTGAAAATAAAAGAGATTAGATCTGTGGATCCACCAAATCCAAGAAGAAATTGACCTGGTTTAGTGTTCTTAAAAGTTCTCCTCTCTTTTCTTTGTGGGCATGAATATGATGAGGTGATGGAAAATCGAAAAAATATATAAATATAGAAAGCTGAGTGGGAATTCTCGAGCAGATAGCGATATTACTATAAGCAAATTAGGGTTGGTTTGATTGGGCCATCTGAAACTAGGGTCTCTCTCAGCAGACAAACCCCATAAAAACGAACAGTGGAGAGCTATAAGCCAGCGAAGCAGAGGGGCCAACTGGGGCGATAAACGGGAAAAGGGGAGGGTAAATAGTTTGACCCATACTGTGTATAGAGTGAGAAAATGAGCTGGGTTTAGGGAAGGCAAAAAAGTTCGGGGCTCGGACGGCTCGGGCTCGGCTCGAAAAAAGTTCGAATCGGGTCCGGCTCGGGCTCGGTCGCACCGAGCCGAGGCTCGGGCCAAGCCCCATGTGGGGGCTCCGGGCCGGCCCGTGTCACGGGCCA